CCTCCGCAAGGCGCACGGGGCGGGCGGCGAGCCCGGCTCGGCNCACGCGACGCCCCACGCGAGCCCCGGCGCGCGGACGCTCGCGGACTCCTAAGATCCGCGCGGCTCGCCGCTGTTAAAATCGATGGCTTATGTACATGCAAGTTTGGCCCGGGCGTCGAAGTTGCCCTGGGACGGGGATAGGGACGAAGAGCCTGGGGAGTCTCGAAGCGGGTCTGAACTAGGCGCGGAATTGGCGAGATTGGCGGGATTGGCGACGACGACCGCGAGTCTGGAGTCAAAGTCGAGCGGGAATTGGCGGACGGGATAGGAAAAAGAGCCCGGGGAGTCGATGGACACGAACGAGCGCGGCGCCGCCGGCGGTGGCCGCTACGTCGGGGAGGCAAGCTCCGTCGGCCGGTCGGCCTCTTCTTCCTCGATGAGGATCTCCGACAGGACCGCGCGATCCGCGTCGGTCGTCTGCTCTGTCCCGCCCTCCTTCTGGGGCGTCGAGGTCGGCGGCGCGACTTGAGCCGCCGGGCGGCCGAGGCTCTTCGAGGCGGTGCGCGCGGCCTCGTCGGGATCGACCTCACAGGTCTCGACGAGGATCGTGTAAATTGTCGCGATGAGGACGAGGGTGCCGCAGAGCAGCATGCACGCGGAGAAGATGGGGCCTTTGAACATGTCCCCCGGCGCGCCGGCCTGCTCGTCCATGTCCTTGATGAAGAGCATGAGCGACGCGATGAAGACGAGGATGATCTGCAGGTTGCCCACGTTCGCGAGTGAGTCGTCGGCGTCGGCGACGTAGGGACGACGCTGCGCGAAGACCTGCTGCGCCAGCACCGCGATGAAGAGGCCGATCGCTATCTGGGAGCCCGACGCGGGGTAGAGGAAGATGAGCAATCCGGTGAGCGCGAGCTTGCGGACGCACTCGAAGACGACGAACTGGTAGCAGCGCGGCTCGTACCTGCGTCCGGCGCCGTCGGACCGCGAAGCGAGCGGGAGAGACGCGGGCGACCGCGCTCTTCGAAGAGAAAGCAGAGGTGGTGGATCGACTCGTCGGCGTCGCGCAGCGCGAGCTTTCGCGCTTGGACGTTGGCGTTCTCCGTGATTTCGACGTCCGGATTGATCCGCTTGCGGTATCGGAAGAGCTGGAGCCAGTACCTGCGTCCGGCGCCGTCGGGTCGCGCAGAGAGCGGGAGAGACGCGGGCGACCGTGCAGCGCGGGGATGCCAATCGGGTACACGAACATCATGATGAGAGCGTACGCCGACCAAGCGCCCTTGTAGCTCGACGACGTGCACGAGATGTCGAAATCGGCCTCGAGGACCTTCAGGGTCTCCGTGGAGCCGTCGGCGAGGCCCTCGTCGAAGGAGACGCAGTTGTAAAAGCGCAACACAGTCGCCGACACGGACCTACCAAGTGCGTCGGTAACGATTTTTCTTCCTTTTCGCGGTGAAAAGCTCTCGAAATCGTCGCGGCCGCAGGACGCCGACACGCGCGGGAAGACGACGAACGTGAGCAGCAGGAACCATCCGAAGGTCTGCGTGCGAACCTCGCGAGCGTGTTTCGTGCACGCGGCGACGGCCGCCCCGATCGCGAAGATGAGCAGCGCGAGGAGCATCGGCAGGATGGTCATGGCGAGGAGCTTGTCGAAGAAAGAGAAGGGCCGAAGACAGGACAAAATGAACCGACGTCGATGCCGTCGAAGGGGTTCGCGGTGCCGGTGACGGCCGCGTAGCTCGGCGACGCCGCGGACCCGACGTTCTCGTAGTAGTAGATGCCACCGTCGTACTCGCCCACGACGAGGTCAAGGTCGCCGTCGCCGTCGAGGTCGGCGAAAGCGGGCGCGCTGTTAGCCCAAAAATACATGCCGTCGAAGGGGTTCGCGGTGCCGGTGACGGCCGCGTAGGTCGGCGACGTCGCGTTCCCGACGTTCTCGTAGTAGTAGAGGGCCCCAGGGGGGCCGCCGTATCCGTCCCCCACGACGAGGTCGAGGTCGCCGTCGCCGTCGAGGTCGGCGAGCGCGGGCGCGATGTCAGAAATGCCGACATCATACGTCGAGGTGCCGACATCAATCCCTTCGAAGGGGTTCGCGGTGCCGGTCTTCTCCGTAAGAGAGAGATAGGGCCACTCTGAGGACCTGGCGGCTGTGTAGCTCGGCGACGCCGCGGATCCGACGTTCTCGTAGTAGAAGAGGCCGTAGAACCGATCGCCGACGACGAGGTCGAGGTCGCCGTCGCCGTCGAGGTCGGCGAGCGCGGGCGTGCTGCGTTCGCGGTTACCGACGTCGATGCCGTCGAAGGGGTTCGCGGTGCCGGTGACGGCCGCGTAGCTCGGCGACGCCGCGGACCCGACGTTCTCGTAGTAGTAGAGGGCGCCGAACCCTTCGCCCACGACGAGGTCGAGGTCGCCGTCGCCGTCGACGTCGGCGAGCGCGGGCGCGCTGCGCCCGTAGTTACCACCGACTTTGATGCCGTCGAAGGGGCTCGCGGTGCCGGTCCTGGCCGCGTAGGTCGGCGACGCCGCGGACCCGACGTTCTCGTAGTAGTAGAGGGCGCCCTCCTCTTCGCCCACGACGAGGTCGAGGTCGCCGTCGCCGTCGACGTCGGCGAACGCGGGCGCGCTGTGGAGACCGACGTCGATGCCGTCGAAGGGGCTCGCGGTGCCGGTGACGGCCTCGTAGCTCGGCGACGCCGCGGACCCGACGTTCTCGTAGTAGTAGAGGGTGCCGTACTTTTCGCCCACGACGAGGTCGAGGTCGCCGTCGCCGTCGAGGTCGACGAGCGCGGGCGCGCTGTCGCCACCGACGTCGATGCCGTCGAAGGGGCTGTCGACGATCACCTCAACCATGCTGTGATAGTTGCCCCAGCACATCGTCGTGTTGTGGAGCACGCAAAAAGCCGTGGAGTCGGCACTGGGTGCGAGGGCCAGCAGCAGGAAGCAGTACGTGATGAGAGACCCGATCGACAGAGAGCTGCAGTGGAATCCGTCCCGCGAGGCGCTCCTCCCGCCGGGCGCATGCGCGTGGTACTGCTGCTGCAGCAGCTGCCGCGAAGTCCCGCCGCGGCGCGCCATCGGTTGGGAAGATCTAGACAGAGGGGCAGCATCAAGTGTGGTTGAGGGCCAAGGTGAACATCAAGCTGCCCGGGCCCCGACACTGCAGTGCTGGTTGCGAGTTGCAGTCGATACTCTGCCATGTTGACGCTCGGCGTGACATCACTTGGTTGATCCTGGCCGCCTCGCCCAGGTTTGGGCACGCGATGCAGCGGTTCCAGGACTTGGCGCGGCGCTCGGTCTGTGGACCATGTCGCGCCTTGGGCCCGGCTGCGAGTCGCTCGGGAAAAACCATCGGTCGATGGGGAGCAACTTAGTTCGCGTCGGGGCAGCCCGTGGACGACGAGAACGGCGGTTAACGGTAGGGGGCGACCGACGAGGGGCTCGCATTAGTGCTGAGGTCCGAGCTGTCTGGCGGACTTTTGCATGCGCCCCCGGCATGCCCTGCCAGAGACCACCTTCGAATTTCCGCCAGACAGCTCGCCTCGTGCATTGCGCGGTGAGCACCGTGTCGCCCGCGGCGCCGCGCGCCTCTCGGAGCCGGTGAGGTAATCTCGATCAAATCGGCTCGAGTCGAAGAGCTGCCGCGAGGGCATCTGGTCGCCCCCATGACGAACGATTCCCGACGCTCTGTGACTCGAAGGGGACCGAAAATCGGGTCGGGGGAAGCTGCCGCGCCTCATTCCACCCCCTGAGGCTGCCCGTTTGCGTCGCCTCGCAATCGTCCGGATGTCGCGTCTTTTCATGTGCCTCACCCGCATGTTTGCGGACCTCAAAGCCACTGGGATCGTTTCACGTCGCTGCATATTCGAGGAGCGCGGGGCCCTCTAAGGTGGAGATTCCATCATCGGCCGCTGAAATACTCCTGCGGAGACACGGTCTCTAGCCCTCTAGAAGCTAGGATTTCTTCAAAGTTTGTCTTGGCTTGCAAAAGTTCAAGTGTGACGGGGTATCCACTGCAACTCGCAACCAGTGCGATGGGATGAGCTGCCCCGCATGCGCTGCTGCCTGCTCGGATCGGCGGCGCTGTGCTGCCTCGCCGGCTCCCGCGACGCGCGCGTCACGCGCCACGTCCGGCCCGGCGGCGCCGACGCTACGGTGGACCCGTGGCCCGGCCGCGCGGCGATCCCGTCGCCGTCGCCGGGCGGCGCGCCCTGCCGCTGGGTGAACGTGACCTACCCCGGCGTCCGAGAGTTTCGCCAGTGCGTCCGGCCCGCGGGCGCGGGCGACCTCATCTCCGACGTCGTCGCGCGCGACGGCCGCTGGAGGGAGTGCGACGCGCTCGTGCCGCTCTGGCGCGAGACCGCGGACGAGCCCGCGGGCCTCTTCGTCGACGTCGGCGCGAATATCGGCGCCTGCGCCCTGCCGCTGCTCCGGCTCGGCGCGCGGACGCTCGCCTTCGAGCCGCTCCGCGTGAACCTCGCGTACCTCACGCGGTCCGTGCTCGCGAACGGTCCCATGCGCTGGTTCCTGTCGCTCTACGCCGTCGCGCTGGGGAGCGCCGCGGGGGAGGTCGACGTCTTCAGCCAGCGGTCCAACCGCGGCAACTCCGTCGTCGGCCGCGCCTTCGACCGCGGCGACGCGCGGACGCGGCCGGCCTACGACGCGTACCGCGCGCGCGTCGCGACGCTCGACGACGTGCTCTGGCCCGCCGGCGCGCCGCCGCCGCCGCCGATCCGCCTCATGAAGGTCGACGTCCAGGGCTTCGAGCCGCGCGTCTTCGACGGCGCGGCGCGGCTCCTCGGCGCGGGGCTCGTGCGCGTCGTCAAGTTCGAGCTCGCGCCCGACTACCTCGCGGCGGTGAACGGCGGCGACGCCGCGGCGGGGCCCCGCATGCTCGCCGCGCTCGAGGCGCGCGGCTTCGTCCTCGAGTCCGCGGAGTCGGGCTGCGCGCGGTCCCGCGCGGCGAAGGCCGTCGTCTGCGACCGGGAGGTCGTCGCGCGGCTCAACCGGACGCGGGCCCGCCGTCCGAACCCGGGCCGCCCCTCGTAACAGCCTAAACCTCCTCGGCCGCGCTGAGCACCTCGCCGTCGCCCGCGCGGTCGATGTCCCACTGGCAGAGGCCGTCGCCGAGGATCGCGCCGGACTCCTGCGGGCAGCTGCAGGGCTCCAGGGCGAAGGGCGACAGCGCCATGTCGCCCATGTCGCCCATGCAGCCGCAGGCGCCGGCCACGTCGTCGTCGACGACGCGCGGCGGCGCCGGCCGCGGCGCCGCGGGCGCCGCGCGGAGGTCCAAGGGCGTCACGGGCTCGCGGAGGTCGACGAGGAGCTCCGCGGTCGACGTCGACGCGGCGGCGCCCGCGGCGGACGACGTCTGGATGCCCGCGGACGCGAAGGACCGCGGCGGCGGCGGCGGCGGCGGCGGCGGCGGCGGCGTCGCCGGCGGCGGCGGCACCTTCTCCGGCGAGTCGAAGGCCTCGGCGCGGGGCTGGTGGCCCGGCGAGACCGGCAGGCCCGGCGGGAGGCGCGAGGACCGGCGCCGGCTCTGCTCGCGGAACGCGGCGTCCCTCCCGTAGCCCATCGAGAACGTGAGCCGCGTGGGCCGCGGGCCGTGCTGGAGGCGGTAGACGAGCGTCGGGAAGGCCTCCATCTCGATGGGGATCAGCTTCTCGTTGTTGATGGCGACGAGCTCGTCGAGGGGCCGCACGAGGTCGTAGCACGCGCCGCCGAGCGTCGTCGAGTCGACGACGAGGCGCGACCGCGGGCTCTCGGGGAGCCTCGCGAGGACGAGCGAGAAGCCCAGCGTGTCGCCCTTGAAGACGACGGTGTAGAGGCGGCCGCCGGCGCCGAGGCGCCGGTGCTCGCGCGCGATGGCGAGGCCCACGGCGCGGTCGCGGTGCTCGCTCTCGCGCACGAGCACCTCGCTCACGGGCGTGAGCGCTCGCGGCCGCGCGGACGCGGCGACGAGCGCGCAGGGGTTCGACACGGGCTGCTGCGATCGGCGCTTGCGCAGCGTCTGGGGCGAGGCCCGCGCCTCGTGGTAGGCGTCGAAGGTGTAGAACTCCTCGTCGTCCTCGTCGCCCCCGGGCGCGTCGCGGGTCGGCGCTTTCTTCGGTTTCGTCTTCGGCGACCAGCCGCCGAAGAGCCAGGACCAGCGGCCGCTCGCGGGCGACGCGGGCTTGGCAGCCATCACGGACGGGCAGCCCCTGCTGCGACGCGACGCCTACGAGCGTGCTGCCCCAGCCTGTCCGGGGGATTCATCGTCGGGCGCGTGCTTCAATGAGCCTCCATTTATTCTCTGCACAATCCAAGTGCACCATCGGCACAGTTGGCGCGCAGGATGGCTCTCAAACTCGCGCCCTAGGCCAGCCCGCACGCGATGCGCGCCGCGGCGCTCGCGTGGTGCGCGCTGGTTTCCGCCGCGCGCGCCGCGGCGCCGCCGACCAACGGCACGCTCTGCCCGCAGTGCGCGGGGAAGCCGCGGGGCCACGCGTCGCGCGCCCTCGACGAGTTCGCCATGGGCGCCCTGGCGTCGCTCGTCTACCACGAGTCGTGGGCCAACGTGTCGCGGTCCTTCGCCGTGTCCGCCGCCGCCGCGGGCGGCGCGCTGCCCTGGCGCGTGCGCCTTCGGGAGCGCGCGCGGTGGCTCCGGTGCGTCGCGCGCCACGCGCGGGACCGCGCCGCGCCGCCCGGCGCGCACCCGTCGGCCAAGGTGCTGCGCCCGCGGTCGCCGGCCGCCGGCCGCGCGCCGTGCCCGGCGCCGGCGACACGGCGCTGGGCCCTCGAGTACGTCTTCCGGGACTGGCACGAGCCCGGCCCCGCGCGCACGAAGTGGCACGCGACGACGGCGCTCGTCGCGTCGTCGCCCGAGGGCCACGTCGCCGTGGCCTTCGCGGGCTCCGCCGACGCGCGCCACGCCGTGACGAACCTGCAGCTCCTCGCGAGGCACGGCGACGGCGAGGGGCGGACGCTCATCGGCATGCGGGGCGCGTTCGAGCGCGTGAGCCGCGGCGCGGTGCTCCGGCTCGGCGCCGGCGACGCGCCCGCCGTCGCCGCCATCGCGCGCGCCTGCGCCGGGCGCTGGACGGACGGCGCCGACGGCGCGCCGCCGGAGTGCCGGCCGTCGGGCGGCCTCGCGGCGCTCCTCGGCGCCGCCGTCGCCGCGGCGCTCGGCGCGGGCGCGCGCGCCTACGCGACGGGCCACTCCCTCGGTGGCGCCCTGGCGCTGCAGCTCGCCCTCGCGGCCCTCGACGCGGCGCCGCGGCGCGCGCGCCGCGTCGGCGTCTTCACGTTCGGCGAGCCGCCCTACGGCGACCGCGCGTTCTTCGCGTCGCGGCTCGCGCGCCACCCGCGGCTCCCGTCCATCTACGACCGGCGCGTCGCCGTCACGGACCGGTGCCGCACGGACGTCGTCCCGGACACGACGCGCCTCGCGGGCGGCGGCGGCCACTTCGCGGCGCCGCGCCACCTCTGCCGGACCGCCGACGCGCCGCGGAACGTGCTCAGCGCCCACTCCATGGTCGGCTACTACCGGGGCCTGCGGGACCACGCGGCCCGCGACTTCGCGCTCCGGTTCGCCTACGACGGGCCGGGCTTCTGGGGCTCGGACACGCCCGACGACCCGCTGCTCGTCGCCGCGGCGCGGAAGCGCGAGGCCGCGCGCCGCGACGCCGAGGCCGAGGCGGCGCGCCGCCGGCGGAACAACGACTTCGCGCGCCGGCCCCTCTTCCCCCGGGGCCGGCCGGGCGCGCGCGGCGCCGAGCCCGGCGGCGACGGCCGCGCGAGCGACGAGTTCTACACCGTGCTGTAAGCGGGGCCATCTACGTCGGACCGGGCGGGTCCCGCGCGGCCCGCGCCGCGAGCAGGGCCGCGGCGCGGCGCTCCGCGAGCGCGACGACGCGGTCGTCGCGCCGCTTCGCGGCGCGCGCGTCGCGCGCGGCGTCGGCGGCCGCGGCCTCCTGGGCCGTGCAGATGGCGCGCAGCTCCGCGAAGGCCGCGGAGAGCTGGTGGCTGCACTTGCGGAGCCGGCTCCGCGCGACCTCGTCGACGGTGGGCTGCCGGAAGATCGTCCCCTGGAGCACGTAGTAGCCGCCCTCGGCGTCGGCGACGCGCGCGCTCCGCCGCCGCTTCCGCGAGATGACGACGCAGCGCGGGTCCGCGCTCGGGCGCAGCTCGAACTCGACGCCCTCGCCGCGCGCGAAGAACGGGCTCCGCTCGAAGTAGTCGAGGGCGTTCTCCGGCCGCACGCCGCCGTTGTGCGCGAGCCACACGGGGTCGACGAAGCAGGTCGAGGACGTGACCTCGGGCTGCTGGGGAGGGGTCGACATGGAGGGAGCGGGTGAAGGCGCGGCGCGCCGGCGCGACGTCGAGGCGTGTGGGCTTGCCGGCAAGCGACGACGAGGCCTCGGGCGCGTCTTGGGAGCCCGAGGTTGAGGTTCAGCATCTCTTCACCATTGCCTCGAGCCGAAAAGCAGCCCGGGCCAATCATCAGCCATCGTCTCCGCCGCGCGCGGCCGACGCGCCATGGCCGACGCCGACGACATGTGCGACAAGTCGCAGCTGCCGCCCGTGCCCCAGGTCAAGGTCGTCACCCTCGTGAACAACTTCATCACCAACACGGTGTCGTTCCTCAACGTCTTCGCGACGTCCGCCGAGGAGAAGCTCTCCGGCGTCGCCCAGCGCATCTCGGGCGTGGAGCTCACGCTCGCGCTGCTGGAGGCGAAGCTCAACAGCGTCCCCGGCGTCGCCGACGTCGCGCCCGTCGCGCCGCGGGAGGCGCCCGCGGCCGCGGCCCCGGCGGAGCCGCCGTCGGACGCGCTCGTCGCCGCGCCGCCGGCCGCGCGCGCGACGTTCGACGACGACGACGACGACGGCGGCGGCGCCGCCGCCGCCGCCGCCGAGCCCGCGCCGGAGCCCGCGCCGGAGGACGACGGCCTCGTCGACGCCAAGGACCACCCGGATTACGCGAGCTTCTTCCGCCTCCAGCGGCTCGGCGTGCCCGAGCCGCAGATCCGCATGAAGATGGTCGCCGAGGGCGTCGACCCGGACGTCATCGCGGACCCGGAGCGGCGCGTGCCCGCGCCGCCGCCGGGCGGCGGCGACGACGAGGGCTAGCGTGGTTTTAAGCGCGCGCGGCCCTAGGTGATGACGAGCTCCGCGGCCGCGTGGCCGCAGCGCGCCTTGTGCGCGTCGAAGAGCGCGCGGAGCGCGGCGACGTAGGCCGCGTGGGCCGCGTCGACGTCCTTCTGCGTCGGGCAGCCGTCGGCGCAGGGGCAGGGCAGGGGCGCGCCGACGACGATGCGCACGGGCCGCCGGTGCGGCAGCAGGCCGACGGAGCCCGTGATGAGGGGGATCGCGACGCCGAGCGTCCTCACGAGCCACTTGCGGAAGCCGAGGAGGAACGCGTGGTGCTCGAAGAGGTCCGTGTCGCCGAAGGCGTACATGGGCACGAGCTCCGCGCCGTGCTCGAGCGCGATCTTCACGAAGCCCTTGCGCTTGCTGAGGTAGAGCACGTGCTCGCCGCGCCTCGTCAGGATCTGCTCGCGCTCGCCGCCCGGGTAGACGAGGATGGACTTGCGCGCGGCGAGGACCCGGCGGGCCGTCCGCTTCGACGCGTCGACGCAGTAGCTCCAGAGCCAGAGCTCGCGGATGATGGGCACGTAGAACGCGGCCGTCGCCGTGAGCACGCGGAAGTCGACGCCCGGGAACGCCGCGTTCCAGAGCGTGTCGATGTCAAAGCCGAAGGCGGCCCGGTTGAAGGCGAGGACGCCGTGGGGGTGCACGGCGAACACGTAGATCTTGCCGCCGTCGAGCTTCAGGTCCGCCGGCGTCTCGATGGTCACGGGGAACCAGCTGAAGAGCAGGCTCCAGAGCTTCGAGCGCATGAGGGCGGGCCAGGGCTTGCCGAGCTTGTACATGGCGCCGTCCCAGGTCGAGAGCCAGCCGAGCACGAGGATGAGCGCCACCTTCTTCGACGCGTCCCACCGCAGGCCGCCGCGCAGGGCGAGATACGGCGGCGTGAGCAGGCAGAGCGCCGGCCCGACGAGGTAGACCGCGTGGAAGACGACGACGACGAGCAGCGTGTGCAGCCGCGGGCCGATGCCGGCCGGCGGGGACGTGGCGCCGTACACGGCCATCGCCTCCGCCTTTTTGGGGGCTGCTTTGGCCATGCTTCCTGTCATCGACGGGTTCAACGACGGCGTCGGATGTCAACGTGCAGTACACCGCTTGTGAGTTAGCTCAGGCCCGCATGATGGCCAGCTCATCCAGGTAGCTCTCGTTGCAGCTCACGAGGCGCAAATGGCAGCTCTAGCCACCTCAGCCCCGCGCTGGCTCGCGTGCCTAGCTGTCTGCGCTGCGCTCCAGGCGCCGACGACCGGACGCGCACGAACCGCGAGCGTCCGCGCCGCGGCGCGCGACGGCACGAGCGACGTCGTCGTCGTCGGCAGCGGCATCGGCGGCCTGTCGGCGGCGGCGCTGCTGGCCAAGTACGGCTACAGCGTGACGGTCTGCGAGAGCCACGACCGCATCGGCGGCTGCGCCCACGGCTTCGAGCGGCGCACCGCGGCCGGGTCGTTCCACTTCGACAGCGGGCCGTCCCTCTTCTCGGGCTGCAGCGCGCCGTCGTCGAACCCGCTGCGCCAGGTGCTTGACGCCGTCGGCGAGACGCCCGAGTGGGCGTCCTACGACGAGTGGGTCATGTACCTGCCCGAGGGCGAGTTCCGCACGAGGAGCGGCGACCGCGCGGCCTTCGAGGCCGAGCTCCGGCGGCTCGGCGGCGCGTCCGCCGCCGCGGACTGGCGGCGGTTGCTCGCGGCGAACGAGGCGTTGGCCGAGGTCGTCGGCGGCGTGCCGCCCATCGCGCTCCGGGCAGACCCGGGCGCGGCGGCGACGGCGCTCGCGCCCTACGCGCCCAAGCTGGACCCCGCGCTCATGGCGCGCTTCGGGCTCGAGCTCCTCACCAAGGGCATCGACCCGTCCGGCCCGTTCTCCAGGGTCTTGGACGCCGCGAACGTCCCGCCGACGTCGCTCGTCTACCGCTGGTTCGACTTCCTCGCCTTCGCGCTGTCGGGCCTGCCCGTGACGGAGACGTCGGCCGCGGCCGTGAGCTTCATGATCAAGGAGTTCTTCGCCGACGGCGCGGTCATGGACGCGCCCCTCGGCGGCTCGCCGGCCATCGCCGACGCGCTGGCGCGGGCCGTGACGTCGCGCGGCGGCGAGGTGCTCACGCGGGCCCACGTCGACGAGTTCGTGATGGAGGACGGCGCGTGCGTCGGGTGCCGCTTGCGGGACGGGTCCGTGCGCCGCGCGCGCGAGGCCGTCGTCTCGAACGCGCCCGTCTGGCAGACGCTGAATCTGGTGCCCGCGGCCGCGCGGCCGCCGCGGCTCGAGGGCACGTGCCTCGACGCGGCGAACACGCCGATGACGGGGTCGTTCCTCCACCTGCACGTGGGCTTCGACGCGGCGGGGCTCCCGGAGGACCTCGGCGTGCACCACATCGTCGTCGCCGACTGGGACGAGCCCATCGACGCCCGGGACAACTGCGTCTTCGTCGCGATCCCGTCGACGCTCGACGGCGGCGCCGCGCCGGACGGGCATCACGTGCTCCACGCGTACCTGCCCGCGACGGAGCCCTACGCGGACTGGGCGGGCCTCGACCGCGCCTCCGCCGAGTACAAGGCGAAGAAGGAGGCGCGGGCCGAGGTGCTCTGGAAAGCCGTGGAGCGGTTCATCCCCGACATCCGGCGGCGCGCCGTCGTCTCGAGCGTCGGCACGCCGCTCACGCACGAGCGGTTCCTGCGGCGCGAGGGCGGCACCTTCGGCCCGGCCTTCAAGGCCGGCGACCGGGCCTTCCCGGGCCACAAAGCGCCCGTCGACGGCCTCTTCTGCTGCGGCGACTCCACGTTCCCGGGCATCGGCGTCCCCGCCGTCGCGGGCTCGGGCATCGCCGTCGCCCACGCGATCGCGCCCGTGGGGAAGCACCTCGCGCTCCTCTCGGAGATGCGCCGGGCCGGGACCCTCGCGTGAGCCTCGAGGGCCTAAAGCTCAAACACGAGTGTCAAACGAGGGAACCACGAACCCGCGAGCAGCTTCAAGGTGCCGCGACCGTTGTTGTTTCGTAAATCGATCCCTAACCCTAGGCGGCTCAAGCGGGCTGCCGAGCCCGCTTGGTAGAGGCAGCTTACCGACGGGCGTCCACGCCCGAGGGGGACGCGGCTCGGGGGCCGCGCCGACACGTGCGACCATGCTCATGAACGCCGACGACTTCGACGACTTCGACGGGCCGAGCTCCAAGGGCCGCGACGTGGGCTCGCGGCTCGACGGCCTCGACCTCGACGACCTCGACGGCGAGGCGGAGAGCAAGGCCAAGGAGCGGTCGAGCCGCGGGCGCCACAGCAGCCGGCCGTCGTCCGCCGCGGCCCGCAAGTCCGGGCGGAAGATGGCGCCGCCGACCATGGCGCCGCCCGACGACGCGCCCGCGCGACGACCGCGCCCCGGTCGCGCGCGCGCGCGCGCGCCGCGCCCCGACCCCCCCCCCCCCGCGCCCCCCGCAGCCCTCCTTCGGCGGCGGCGCCAAGGAGGACGACAGCGCCTTCGGGAGCGCCGGGGCGCTCGCCGAGTCGACGCAGTCGCGCGCGCGCGCGCTCGCGAAGCAGCGCGAGCTGCAGATGAAGCGGCGGCAGCAGGCCATGAACAGCGGGTCCATGATGCGCGGCGCGTCGGGCACCATGCCCAACGGCCAGTTCACGCCGGGCGTCGCCCAGTTCAGCGCGCCGCGGGCCATCGACGAGGACCCGTACGGGCCCTTCGGCGGCCGGGGCCGGCCCGCGGCGTCGCAGGACTCGTGGCGGAGCCCCTACGAGGCCTCCGGCCGCGACTTCGGCGCGGCGAGCGCGGGCCCCCTGAGCCCCGCGGCCCAGTTCGGCGAGCGCTTCGCGCCGCCGGCGCAGGCCGCGGCGAGCCCCGGCCGATTCGGCGACCGGACGAACGCGGACCGCGTCCGCGCGGCGGCCGAGGACCGCTTCGGCGACCGCGAGAAGCGGGGCGGGAACCGCTACGACGACCGCGACCGCTACGACGACCGCGACCGCCGCGGGGACCGCTCCGTCTACCGCGAGGACGGGAGCCGCTACGACCGCCAGATCGACGCGCGCGAGCCGCCGCAGGAGTCGCGGGGCCGCGACGCCGCGCCGCCGCCGGACGAGGACGCGTACCGGCCGCCGGACGGCTACGACGACCGCGAGCCGCGGCGCGCCAAGGACGACCCGCGGAGCCCGCCGCGCGACGACCGCGACCGCGGCGACCCGCGCGCGAATCGACCGCCGGTCCGGGACGTCCCGACCAAACTTTGAAATGCTCGAGCTCGGTCACATCGAAGTCGATTCGGCTGATTTTTGGACGGATCGATGGCTCTCGACGAGTTCTCGAAGCACGGTCGAAGAACTTGTGTCGAACCATTCGAATACGCGCACATTGAAGTCGAGTTGAAGATTTGAGTCGCGCGCAGGCGGCTACGCGCCGGACCGCGACGGCCGCGACCGCGACCGCGCGCCGGACCGGTCCTACGACCGGTCCTACGACCGGGCCTACGACGGCGACCGCGGCGACCGCCGCGGGTACGACGACCGCGCCTACGACGACCGCGACCGCCGCGACCGCGACCGCGCGCGGGCGCCGCGCGACGGCGACCGCGACCGCGCCTACGACGACCGCGACGACCGGCGCCGCGACCGCGACCGCGCCTACTACGACGACCGCGACCGCGACCGCGACCGCGGCTACGACGACCGCGACCGCGACCGGGCCTACGACCGCCGCGACGACGCGCGCGGCTACGACGACCGCGACGGCCGCCGCGGCGACCGCGACCGCGACGGCGGGCCCACCGCGCGCGGCTACCGCGACGACCGCGACCGGGGCTACGACGACTACGACCGCCGCGACCGCGACCGCGACCGCGACCGCGACCGCGACGACCGCCGCGCCGACGACCGCGACCGCGACTTCGACGACCGCTACGACGACCGGGCCCTCCAGGACGAGCCCGAGGCCGCGCCCGCGGCGCCCGCCGCGCCCGAGTTCGACGTCACGGCGCTGCCGCTCCACGACATGCGCCTCTTCCTCACGACGCCGACGCCGCGGCGCGCGGGCATCGTCCAGTGCTACATCAAGCGCAACCGGTCCGGGACGAACAAGCTCTTCCCGGAGTACTCCGTCTTCATGAAGGAGGGCGACCGCTTCATGATGTGCTCGAAGAAGCGGCCCAACAACAAGACCTCCAACTACCTCATCTCCATGGGCGAGAACGACCTCAAGCGCAACTCGCACAACTACATCGGCAAGCTCCGCGCGAACTTCGCGGGCACGGAGTTCCAGATCTTCGACGCGGGCTGGAACCCCAAGGGCTTCGAGCCGGACCTCGAGGAGGAGGGCGCGCAGATGCGCCACGAGCTCGGCGCCATCATCTACACGTCCAACGTCCTCGGCTCGCGGGGCCCGCGCAAGATGCAGGTGTCCATCCCCGCCGTCGACGAGGCCGCCGACGGCGCCGACAAGCCCCGCGGCATGGGCGACATCCTCTCGAAGATGAAGGCCCACGAGTACGGCGCGGGCACGTCCCTCGTCTACATGATCAATAAGCCGCCGCGCTGGAACGACCAGGTCGGCGCCTACGTCCTCAACTTCAACGGCCGCGTGACCATGGCCTCCGTCAAGAACTTCCAGCTCGTCCAGCCCGACGACCAGGACGCGATCCTCCTCCAGTTCGGCCGCGTCGGCAAGGACGAGTTCACCATGGACTTCCAGTGGCCCATGACGCCCTTCCAGGCCTTCGCGATCACGCTCTCGTCCTTCGACTCGAAGATCGCCTGCGACTAGGGCCCCCACCGCTTCCCCCTTTCCGCGACCCGCGCCGCGGCCCGGGCGCGGGCCGCCCGCGCGCGCGCGCGGCGCCGCCGCGCCGCCCGCCCCCTCCCCGTCTCCCCCCCCGCGGCGCGCGACCGCACTCGCCGCCGCCGAACTAACTTAACCGCCGCCCGCTAGCGGCGCGGCGGCAGGCGCGCGGCGGACGCGGTCGTCGCGTAGGGGCTCACGAAGCGGGCCTTGGCGGGCTTGGCGCCGGCGCGGGCCTTGCCCGGGCCCGACGGCGGCCGCCGGTCGTCGTCGTAGGCCGCGTCGTCGCGCGGCGCGTCGTCGTCCGCGGCCGGCGCGCGCGCCGCGCGCGCGGAGCCCGGGCGGCTCGGCCGGGCGTCGCCGTCGCCGGCGTGCGGCGCGGAGCGGTCGGCCTTGAGGAGCTGGAGCTTGCGGCGCGCGAACTCGACCTCGAGCTTCTCGTCGCGGACGCGCGCCGGCGCCGCGTCCGGCGGCGCGTCGCGCGCGTCGTTGCCGCCGTCGCGGAGCTCGTCGCGCTCGCGCTCGAGGCGCGCGTGCTCGCGGCGGATGGAGAGGAGCGCCGTCGCGGGGAAGTCGCCGGACTCGCGCCGGTGCGAGAGCTCGCGCGTCGCCGCGCGCTCCGCGGCCGCGACCTTGTCGAGGCGCTCGAGGGACGCGGCGAGCGCGCGGCGCGCGTTCCGCAGCACCTCCGGGTCGTCCCACTTGGCCCAGTCGACGGCGCCGCGGCGGTCCGCCGCGAGGCGCGCGGCCGCGCCGCCGTCGGCCGCCTCCGCGCGCCGCGCGCCGGGCGCGACGGCGCCGTCCCTGTCCGCGTCGCCGTCGTCCGCGGGGTCGCCCCACGCGCCGCCCCGCGGGTCGCCCGTCGCCGGCCGCCGCGACCCCGCCGTCGTCGGCCGCCGCGCGGGCGCGGGCCGCGCGCCGCCCGCGGCCGACGGCGGCTTCGCGGCCGCCTTCTTCGCGGCGCCGTGGCGCTCCGCGGACTCGTTCGCCGCGCGGCGGCAGAAGACGCGGACCGTGGCGCCGAGCTTGCCGTTGGCGAGCTCCGTGAGCAGGGGCGACGCGCCCTTGATCGCCGCGGCCTCGGCGTAGTCCGCCGCGGGCGCGCGCGCGCCCTGCTTCAACAATTGCGCGTGGATGAGCTTCACCTTGGCCGTCGCGGCGCGCGGCAGGAACCGCGCGGCGTCCGAGGGCTTGTTCGCGCGGGCCGCGGCCGCGTCGAGGTGGGCCTTGAGGGCCTGGTGCCACGCGCAGAGCGGCCGCGGCGCCTTCTTCTTCTTCTTCCGCCGCGCGCCGGGCGGGCTCGGCGCGTCGTCGGCGCGCGCCGGCGCGGGCGCGCGCGCGCAGACGCACGCGCGCCACTGGCAGACGTCGCCGAGGACGTCGTCGTCGCTCGACTCGTCGTCGGCCGCGGGCCGGCGCTTCGCGGGGGCCGGCGGGCACGCCGCGGGCGCGATCTTCGCGTCCGCGGGCTGGAAGAGCTTGGCCGCGGGCTCCGGCGGCGCGGCGGCGGCCGGCGCGGCGTCGTCGACGGTCCAGGCGACGAGCAGCGCCTCGCCGCTCGCGGGCCCGCCCGGCGACTTGTCGCCCGGCCGGGGCTCGGCCGGCGGCGCGATGCCGTGGGCCTTGGTGGCCAGCAGGCTGAAGAACTCGGGCCGGCCGTCGGGCGGCGCCGGGAAGACGTCGACGGCCGACGGGAGGACCGCGCGCCGCTCGTCGACGTCGACGCGCCGGAGGAACGCGTCCGCGTAGACGGCGACCGCGCGCGCCGAGAGGCGCCGCATGGCGCCCCGGCCGCCGCGGGGCGTGCCGAGGCCGTCGTTGCAGAGCGCGACGGGCGGCGCGACGTGGCAGTAGAGGTGGAGCGCGCCCCAGCGCGGCTCGCGCGCGCCGCCGGCCGCGGCGGCCGCGGCCGTGAGCGCGCGCTCGCGCGCCGTCGCGGGGAGGTGGCGCGCCTCGAGGAGGTGCGCGACGGACGCCGCGGCGAAGTGGAGGCCGTCGGCCGTCTCGACGACGGCCGGGTGGCTCGCGAGCGCGTCCGCGAGCGCGTCGACGGCCTCGCGCGCCGTCGTCGGCGCCGCGTCGCCCGCGGGCGCGCCGCGGCCGAGCGCCTTCCGCGCGCGCTCCGTCGCGTTGCGCCGGTGGTCGCCCCGCGACCGCGCGGCCGGCCGCGGCGCCGCGAGCGTCGGGTCCGACACGGCGCCCTTGGTGAGCGGGCCGTCGAGGTACGCGGCCGCGACGGCGGCGCCGAGGTCCTGCGCGACCTTGAGCCCCGGGCCGTCGGCGACGAGCGCCTCCGCGGGGCCGTTTCCCTCGGGCGCCGGGGGCGGCGCGCGCGCGTTCCAGTCGTCGGGCAGCA